TGACGACGACGACGACGACGACGACGACGGCGACGGTGACTGCGACGGCGCCGACGACGACGACGACGACGGCGACGACGACGACGGCCACGCCGACGACGACGACGACGACGATGGTGGTGACGTCGACGACGACGCCAACAACGGCACAAGACGATGACGACGACGCCTACAAGGGTGAGAATAGCGACGATTGCGATGACGACGACGACGATGGCGATGACGACGACGACGATGAGGACGACGTCGGCGACGACGACGACGGTGATGTCGACGACGACGACAGAGGCGACGACGACGACGACCACGATGACGGCGACGAAGACGGTGGCGACGACGAAGGCGACGACGACGATGGCGACGACGACGACGATGACGGTGGTGTCGACGACGACGTCGACGACGACAACGACGACGACGACGGTGGCGACGAAGACGGCGATGGCGACGACGACGAGCACGAGGGCGAGAAAGGCGACGACGACGGTGACGACGGCGACGACGACGCTGGTGATGACGACGACGAAGACGACCACGACGACGATGTTGGCGGTGGCGACGACGACGACGACGACGACGGCTGCGAGTTCGAAGACGACGACGACGACGACGACGGCGACGGCAACGACGACGGCGATGACGACGACGACCACGACGTCGACGACGGCACACGACGACGACGACTTCGAGGGCGAGAACGGAGTCGACGACGACGACGCCGCCGACGACGACGACGACGACGGCGACAACGACGGCTGCGACGACGACTACGACAACGTCGACGACGACGACAGACGATAACGATGCCGAATACGAGGGCGAGAACGGCAGCAACGACGACGACGAAGGCGACGACGACGACGACGGCGACCGCGATTATGACGACGACGGCAACAATGAAGGCGGCGACGACGACGACAGCGACGGCGACGACGACGGCGGCGACGACGAAGGCGACGACGAGGACGACTACGACGACGGTGATGATGACGACATACGACGACGAGGCCGACTACGAGGGCGAGAACGACGACGACGACGACGAAGGCGACGACGACGACGATTTTGCCGACGACGACGACGACGACGACGACGACTACGATGGGGACGACGATTGTGGCGACGACGACGATGACAGCGACGACGATGACGACGTCGACGCCAGTGACACGACGACGGCGAGTTCGACGACGACGACGACAACGACTACGACGACGCCGACGACGACGACGCCGACGACGACGCCAACGACGACGACGCCGGTCACGGTGGCGGCGTCGACGACGACGACGACGACGGCGACGACGAAGGTGGCGACGATGACAACGACGACGACGAAGATCACGACGACTGTGACGACGGCGACGACGACGATCACGACGACCGCGAGAACGAAGACGGCGACGAGAATGGCGACGATGCAGTGAAGGCGCTGAACACGGCCTTGAACGTGGTCGGCAAGTCGGGCTCGGAGCAGCTCCGCAAGATCGTGAAGAGCTTCGAGCCGGAGTACATGCTGGCTGGGGGCACCTCGCAGGCGAAGGACTCGCTGATGATGATGCTCATGGGGCTGCCGTTCGCCTTCCAGGCGGGCGGCATCGGCACCCGCGTGCCCTGCCTCTACCGCACCTTCAAGAGCGAGAACGCTTCCATGGAGGTGACCATGCGCTACCACGACGGCCTGAGCCAGGACGGCGAGGTATCGCCCGAGAGCGTCGTGGGAAAGATCGAAGAGCACATGGGGAAGTACGCCACGCCAAAACCTGGCCGGTTCGGGGAGGACCCCATCGAGATCTTGGTCAGCGGACCCGAGCTGCAGGGGGCCGTCTATAAGAACATGATGGGCCGGGTGGTGGGCAGGGACCCCGAGTCGGTCAAGAATTCGCGCGACATCGACGAGATCTACAAGCACCACGTCAGCAGCCCCAACGTCCAGCTGATCGCGGTGGAGAAGGCACAGACGAACCCTGCCAACTCGATGATCGCGCCCTTCGCTTCCCAGATCGACCCCACGGGGAAGCGCACCATCTGGGTGAAGACGTGGGCGGACTATGGTATTTCTGAGAAGAGCGCGGAGAGCGGGAGCACGTGCCGCGAGGTCCAGAACTACTTCCGCGAGATGGACTTCGAGAAGCCGCCGGGCAGCCCCCCGACCTTCTGGATTGCCACCGTGGAGGCCAAACCGTACCTGCAGGACCCGAGCCTCTCATTCGAGGAGCGCCGGAAGGAACTCGAGAACAACATCGCGAAGAAGGAGGCCAAGATGCAGGCCTTCATCGACGGGTGGAAGGCGAAGGGGTGCTTCTTCGATTTCGAGGACAACATTAAGGTGACCAAGCTCCGGAAGTATCTGTCCGATCGCCACGGCCAGACCATCACCGCGAAGCTGCCGGAGCTCATCCAGGCCCTGGAGCGAGCCAAGGAGTCCATGGATGAGCAGGTGCTGCACATGAAGGACGAGCTTGAGAGCATGCCCGGGGGTGACTCGCCCTCGTCAGAGCTCCTGCAGCTCATGATCACCTACAAGGCGCTGTTCGACGAGCAGATGATGGGCGAGCGAAGCCCGCCAGCCGCAGGGCTGAGCTACGTGGAGGTCCAGAAGATCCAGGAGAGCGAGTTCCACACGACCGCGGCCCAGCTGGCCACCGAGCTGCTGGCCAGCTGGCGGGAGAGGGGCAACCCCGAGCACATGGACGAGGCGTTCGACCGGCGGCTCGAGGAGGTGGCCCGCATGCTGAACTACCCCCAGGCCAAGCAGAAGCTGAGCATCACGGGCCACCACTGGACCCACATCACCAACATGTACATGCTCCTGGTGCGCTCGCTCCGAGATCTCATCGAGCGGCGACCCCTGACGTGGAACCTGGGCGCCGTCGGCATCGCGGGGCCCAACCTGTGCAACGCAGCGGCCAGGGAGGCGCGCGACGTCTTCATGACGCAGACCTCGAAGTTCGGCCAGCACCTCATGGTCTTCGGCATGCAGTGGCTGCTCGAGAAGCACCAGCGCGTCGTGCGGAAGCTCCTCATGGCGATGCCCCGCAACAGCGCCTACGCGAGCGACGCCATGCTGAACGCGGAGCTGGACGAGGTCGAGCAGTTCTTTCTCGAGAAGTGGACGCGCGACTTCTCGAGCAGCTTCGATGTGCAGCTCAGCAAGGCGACGCTCAATATCCAGCAGTTCAAGATCCAGAATATGCTGAACAACATGGGGAAAGGCACTCTACCTCTTCGTCGTCGCCTTCCTCCTCCGACGCTCTCCCTCCCTGCTGTATCGATCGAAGAGGAGCACGAGGAGGAGAAGGGGGAGGGGGAGGGGGAGGGGGAGGGGGAGGGGGAGGGGGAGGGGGAGGGGGAGAGGAGGAGGAGGAGGAGGAGGGAGGAGGAGGGAGGAGGAGGAGGAGGAGGAGGAGGAGGAGGAGGAGGAGAGGAGGAGGAGGAGGAGAGGAGGAGGAGGAGGAGGAGGGAGGAGGAGGAGGAGGAGGAGGAGGAGAGAGAGAAGAAGAGGCGGAGGAGGAGGAGGAGGAGGAGGAGGAAGGTGGGAGGAGGAGGAGGAGGAGGAGGAGGAGGGGAGGAGGGGGGAAGAGGAGGAGGAGGAGGAGGAGGAGGCGGAGGAGGAGGAGGAGGAGGAGGAGGAGGAGGAGAGAGAAGAAGAGGAGGAGGAGGAGGAGGAGGTGGAGGAGGAGGGAGGAGAGGAAGAGGAGGAGGAGGAGAGAGAGAGGAGGAGAGAGAGGACGAGAGAGAGAGAGGAGGATGAGGAGGAGGTGGAGGAGGAGGAGGAGGAGGAGGAGGAGGAGGAGGAGGAGGAGGAGGAGGAGGAGGAGGAGGAGGAGGAGGAGGAGGAGGAGGAGGAGGAGTTGGGCCAGCAGAAGAAGGAGGAGGGGGGGATTCGGTGAGGGAGAGGGATTTGGCGAGACGGGAGAAGGCAAGCTAGGCGCGCTCGCGCCAGATCTGATATTCGACCCCTCGCATCCATCCCTTCCCATTGTGCTGATTTTTTTATGCCCGAAATGCGCAATCACAAGAGTGGAGCTGCGCACATTGGTGGAGGGGGATGAGCAGGAGGAAGAGGCGGATGAGCAGGAGGATGATCAGGAGGAGGAGGAGGAGGAGGAGGAGGAGGAGGAGGAGGAGGAGGAGGAGAAGGAAGATGATGAGGCAGGAGAAGGAGGAGGAGCAGCAGCAGCAGGAGTGGGAGAAGCGGCAGGAGCAACATTACTTGGAAAATAAGTACGGGGGACCTCGGGAAGCAGCGGGCCGACAACGATGAGGAAATACTCTTATCCAGAGCCGTGGTCCACACTGTGGCGCGAGCGCCATTCTGAACGGCGGGGGCAAAGCGCCGATCCTCAGATGAGACCAGCGCTGCAGCGGGAACGCAATTTTGAGATACCAGAAACGCTCCGATGGGAAAAAGGTAGGACGTATACAATAATGCCATCCTGTCAGTACAAAATGCACGCGGAGAAATCGAGACACCTTCCCGGCAGGGTCTGGGGAGATGGGAGAGCAATATTTATTTTGAGTACTTGTCGAGAGGAGAGGGAGGACGAGGCTGAGGCGGCGGCGGCGGCCCTCCATGGAGTCCGAGGGCAGGTCGTGGTCTGGAGAACATGTGGGGTGGCCCTCTGCACCGCTCTGGACGCGGGGCCCGAGCGAAGAAGGGGGAGAAGGGGACGGAGTATAATTTGGAGGAGAAGGGGGGAGATGAGGAGGGTGAGGAAGAGAATTTGGATAAGAAGGGGAAGGATGATAATGTGGAGGAGGAGGGGGAGGAGGAGGCGGAGGAGAAGGCGCGGAGGGCGCCACGACGAACACGGAGTACGCCATAACAGCCTGCTCGGATGTACCTGGCGCCGAGCTGCAGGCCACCTGGCTCAAGACGCTGGAGTTCCCCTTGTGCAGGTGCTCCGTCGAGGGACAGGGCGTGTTCTGTGGGACCGAGAGGACTCCTACTCCCTTTTCTCCTCCTCCTCCTTCTTCCTTTCTTCTCTTCCCCGTCCTCCTTCCTCCTCCTCCTCCTCCTCCGTAGCCATTTTGGCTCAAGATGATGCGTTCCCCTGGGAACGAAGTGGATACCGCTCCCATCCTTTCACACCCCTGTCGGGAACTCCAACGGCTCTTCCTCTTCTTCAGCAGCGTGGCATTGGTTCGGGGTGGCGCGAACCCAGCACAGTGGCTTCCTGACGGCATCCACACGGCGCCGCATCCACAGCTGACAACATGGGCGACACCACCAAAGCTTATCCGCGCCGTGCCGAGCGTGATCGCGCACGTGGCAGTCGAGAGCGCTCACTTCGGCAACAGCAGCAACCAGCTCGGCAACAGCAACAGCAAGTGGCAGGAACACGCAGAGTCCGAGCTTGTGGAAGGCAAGAAGCGCCTCGCCGTCACCGAGACGTGCTCCGCCGACTTCGCGCCGCGGTCACGAACCTCCAGCAATCCATCGCGTATACCGATGCCCAGGTCCCTCCGGTCGACTTTGCCGCCATCGACGACTGGGACAGACCTGGCCACATCGGCGCGTTCTGGTGCGGCTGCACGCAAGACATCACCAAGACCGAGTTCCGCAAAGCCCTCCTGCCCTGGTTCAGCGCAGCCGATTCAAGCATCAACTGCGTCCGCTTCAACAGCAACACGCCCAGCACCCGAGCCTCTATCACGCTGCTTGGAGGTGACGCGGTGGTCATCCTGCGTGGCAAGGCTCTTCATCATCATCAGCATCATCATCATCATTTTCATCATCATCATCATCATCATCATCATCATCATCATCATCATCATCATCATCATCATCATCATCATCATCATCATCATTATCATTATCATTATCATTATCATTATCATTATCATTATCATTATCATTATCATTATCATTATCATTAACATCATCTTCGTTTTGGCTGCGAGTGGCGTCAGTTCTCTATCCGCTCGGGTGATCACCCCCTGTGCGTCAGTGTCGACAAGAGCCCGAAGCTCGTGCGACATGAGGTGCAGCTCAAGAGGCTTTCCAACAAGATCACCAACAACAAGTTCAACGACATGTCGCCCAGGGTCCACCGCACCGTCGGCCACCTCTCTGTGGACAGTCGACAACAACGTGCCCATCGTCCGCCTACGCACCGGCGCGAATCCCACGGACGCAGCGCAAGTGCAGTGGTCCGATGCGGCCGCTGCTGATGGCATCGCTTCCACTGCTCAGAAAGAGCTCGCGGGCGAATTCGCCGCCGCGTTCGCGAACCCACACACTGCAGTGTCGTGGCTTTGTCGACGGATGGGCACCGTGGAACGACGGCATCAAGAAGAACGGCACCAACCTGGTCTCTTGGAGCTCCTATGTCATCTGTGGTATCTCCCCCTCTCGTCGTGATGCCTAGCGTTGCTTGCTGGCCGACTACCTCCGCCAGCGCGGCTTGATCTTGCTTCTGGAGGCCCACAGAAACAGTGACATGCTCAAGCCGGTGGCCAACGGCACGACGAACAAACATGCAGTGGATCATTCGGGTGTCGATGGCAACCAGGTCGCTGGTGGCGCGGCTTTCCGTGTCCCTATGAGCACCGCCTACTGCGACCGCCGCGCGGACACAAAGCCCAAGCATGACTCCAACGTGATCTCGCCAGGACGCATCGCCACGATGAAGATACCCGGCAGCACGCAGCGATATTGCAGCATGATGGTCAACGCGCACAACCACGACCTATCCCCGACCAGCTGACGTGACTTCAAGGCGGCCTAGCAGGCCGCGGTGCAATTCGCGCGCTCAGACCCCGCGAAGTACACATTGATCGTGATGGGGGGGACTTCAACCTCTCCGATCATCCGCCGCGCAGCATGACGCCCCTTGCGGACATCGCCCCGCTCCAACAACATTAATAGCCACCGCAATTATGGCGTGACATCAAAGACGTTATCGAGGTGGCGACGCGAGCGACCACTCATCGGAACTAGTCGAACAACAGCGAGACGACCATCGACCGCGTCTTCGTCTCCTTGGAGGTGCATGATATCCTGCGCATGGAGACCCTGCTCGCCGTGAACAAACCTCTCGATAATGTAGGCACGTTCGTCAGCGACCACGAGATACTTCATCTACGCATCCGCCCGCGAGATCAGCGACCACCCGCTGACGGGGCGATCTCGCCCGTGATCTTCAAGGGCGTCTTCTACCAGTACTGCGTCGCCATGCTCAACATTATGACCGACTTCTCCTCGCCTGACGCAATGGCTAAATGGAGGGCGCTCAAGGGCAACGCGCGCGCGGGCGGCGCCTCCGAGGCTCCACCCTGACGCCCTAAAAGCCAACCGCAGGGACACTGCCAGGGAGGTGAACTCCATGGCCATGAGAGGCATCGCGAGGGCTGTTTGGCATCGCGATGCCCCGCTTGCCGGACGCATCGACGACGCGCGCCTGGGCGCCGAGCGCATGCTGATCCACGGTGACACGCTGGGCGCGAACACAGCCGCGGAGATTTGCATCCGTGACCTCCAGAACTTCAGCGCCGAGGCTGCCGCGGCTCACTCTGGCGCGGCCAATTGGCGACGAGCGCGCGCGGCGGTCCAAGCGCGACAGGCGCGCGCCGCCCATCGCCCTCGCGATGGCGACCGCTGGCGACGGCGGGCCCCCCGCGCGCGACGGCACGGAGAGCCGTGGAAACCCTTCGCGAAGCGGCTGGTCCTCAACGACGTGAAGACCTCTACCGGCGGCATCTCTCACGCCGAGACCAACCCGATGAACGCGCGCGCTGCCATCCAAGCGCGCTGGGCCCCGATGGTCGCAGAGGGAGATCAACGTGCAGGAGACGGCGCAGCAGGCGATGATAAACATCGCCATCCCCAACGAGCGCGACCTCGAAGTTGCTGCCGAGCACGCGGCCGACTCTGCTCCTGGCCCTGACCAACTACCAGATCGTGCGCGGTTGGCGACGCCTCTCAGCTTCGATCTCGGCGGTGCTCAGGTCCCACCTGGCACGCGGCGGCCCAGCGCCTCTCGATCTCAACTTCGCGCTGATGGCGACGCCCCCGAAAGGGAAATAACCCGATGACCAGCGCGCTGTTCTACGCAATCCTGTTGCGCCCCGCCTGCTGTAAATGAAGCGCGGCCACGTCGAGATCATCGCGTCCTCCTGCAACACGATGCTGCGCCCCCTGGCCCGTTCCACCAGCGACGCGCAACGTGGATTTGCTCCTGGGCGGCAACTCCTCACTAACATCGTCAACGTCGACGCGGACCGCCGCAATTTCAGCGCCCCCCCTCGTCGCTGGCGCGTCGCAGCCCTGCTTCCTGAGTTTGGACATCGCCGCGGCGTTCCCCGGCTTTATATACGCATGGCTTTGGGAGGTGCTCCGACGGCGGGGCATTCGCAGTTCGTTCCTGCAGCTACTTCGCGCCCGTTGCCACGACCCGCCCCCGTCCTGCTGCTGGGCAAAGTAACCAGCCCACTCTTCTCCCCTGACAGCGGAAGTGCACGGGGGTGTCTTGTCAGTGGATCTATGTGGGCGCCCGCGTTTGAACCAGTTCTTCCGAGCATCGACGCTGCGCTCGAGTCTATCCCCCACGGGGGCGGCTTCTCGACTTCACCCGCAGCGCGGAGGCAGCGCTACCAATGCCTGCGCCGATGGCATCGACGGTGCTCTTCTTGCCTTTCGTGATCTGCTTCGCCTGCGCCCTTGCGCGCGCGCCGCTGTCGACTGCGCGGGCCTTCTCTCTCAAGCCGAGAAGTGCGTCATTGTGCGTCTGTGGACCGCCCTTAGCGATCATCTGATCAAAAACGCCCGCGACGCGCTGATCACCGTCGACCCGTCGTGAGCTACGTTCACTATCAGGGGCGCGGCCAAGTACTTGGGCGCGCGCATCGGCCCCGCAGCGTCGCCCACGCGTCAACGGCAGGCGCCCGCGGCCACATGGTTTTCGCGACGCCAGATGCTGGTGGCATCTAACGGCCCGCTCCAACTCTGCATCCAGCCCTGCAACACCTCGACCATCACGACACTGTCCTATGTCGGACAGCTCTTTCCCCCGATCGCGACGTTCCTCGCCGATGGGGATCCGCGCGCTCCAGAAGCTGATGCGTGCCGCCCCGTCTGTTTTCACGAAGATAGACATCCTGGCTGTGCGAACTTGGCGTGGCGCAGATATCCCAGCGGGGCTCGAAATCACGCTCGCGGCCGCCATGTTGGGGGTGGCAACGTGCACTATCCGTGGCTTAGGGTCGGCATGCCACTCGCTTCATCAAGCTGCTGAAGAATACCTACCCTTGTCAAAGTCATTAACGGGCAAAGCTGCGCCGATTGCTGGGTCGACCCTCTTTCTATCGCCCATCGTTCCAGGCTGCGATCGACGGCAAGTCCTGCCCCGCAGGCTGGGGCCCCCGCTGCAAACACTTCGGCCGAATGCGGGGAACGACCGAAGCGCAGCCCGACGCCTCGCGATCGCCCGCCGCGAAGCCAGCGCGCAGGTCAAGGCGGCAGTTTCTGGACACATGGGCAGGGCAACGACCGCAGGATCAACCATGCAGATCGCCGCCCACGACGCGATAACGACCCACAGCTCCAGCATAAGCCGAAACGCCACAAGCTGCGTGCACGTCCGAGCTTCAGCGTAGCTTCTATTCCGACACCTTCGGCGCTGCCATCCTGAGGCGCCTCCGCGCATGGTGCCCAGCGGCTGGCCGCACCGCCCACTTCCCCGACCCCCCGCGCCATGCTCCAGATGCTCCCGCGCCTGACCACGCCAACGATGACTCCCGTCGCACGCTCCAGCAGCTTCGCGCCATGGAGGAGATGCTCGCCCACTGGGCCGACGACCCGGATCCCTGACGTGCACCGGAACGACCGGACGACGGACCGACGCCGCGACTGGAAGAAATGGCGCGAAGCATACATTTCGAGTCCTCAAACGACCGCCGCATAGCATCTCGTACAATCGTGGTGACGACTTCTGCTTCGGAGACTTGGCTCGGCGCATGCGTCGAGACGCTTGGCGCGGCGGCGACGGCGCCAGACAACGACGGGCCCAGCTTTTCCAACCTCCGCGCATGCCAGCAGACGTTCGCCAACCATTAGAAGGCGCGAGAGATGAACGCCATGCCCGACGCCAGCTGATCTGACCCCCTGACGAGATCAATGATGACAGCGACACTACTCTTCCGAAAAGGAGTCAACCGAGCGCGCGACGACGAGGATTACAACGACCTCGCGCCCATGCTCCAGCTGCCGCCAGGGATCCACATCCATCAGATGGGCCAGAGCTCGCTCCACGATCGCCCGGGCGCCACCATCGCGACTCTGGCACATCATGAAGACGTGCGCGGGACGGTGGCCAACTACACCAGGATGCGCGTGCAGCCGCAGAAGCGCCTCTGCATCTTCGGCTGCCCCGCGGATGCTGACGACCAGGCCCACTACGCGGTCTGCCGCCGAGCCTGGCACCGCGTCGCGTTGCCTCGTCGCATGCCGGCGCCCGACCTACTGGCGCGCATGGGCTTAGGAGCGCGTGGCTACGGCATGTCGGGCGAGGACAACACATTCAACTAGGTCACGCGCCTCGCTGTGGTGTGCCGGGCCTATTGCATGAAGAACGACCGCTTGAAGTACGATTGCGCCACGGTTCGGGGCAGTTTCGTCGACGCGCCGCGCTTCGACTCCGCGCCCGTGGGCACCTGCTGCATCAACTCCAACTGCTACGAGCAGAACATCAAACTCTTCAAGGCCGCCCACGCCGCGCTGAGTCTGGGCCCTTGCATGCGCGACGGCGCGTCGGCGCCCAGGTAACGAAGCGTCTCCGCAGAGGGACGTGCGCTCCTCCTCCTCCTCCTCTTCCTCCTCTCCCTCGTCCTCCTCGCCCTCGTTCTTTTCCTGCGGGGAGGAAATCCATCGCGCGCTCGCGCCGACCATCCGCAGAGACACTCCAGCCCGCGAGCGCGACGTTGGCTGCGCGCCACGCGGCGGCCCAGGCATTAGGTTGCATCGCAGCGAGGGCGGGGCCAGGCGCCCACGCGCCCACGCTGATCCTGTCGGCGAGCGCGAGGGGCTTCGACGGGGCCTTCAGGGCGCAGCGCAACGCGTCGAGCTCACCCCAGAGGAGGGCGTCCGGCAGGGGCGGCAGCTGTGCAAGGTACGTAAGGACAGAGACTGCAGAGCCGCTGTTTAGCTTGATCAACTCTTACGTCGCCACAGGCACGTTCTGCAGCCCCGCCACGCGCTACTTGCACTTCATGGCAGCCGCCTGCCAGGAGCCCCAAACGGATGTCCCTGGGCCCAGAGCGAAGCGGAGGTACTTGACTTTCCGAGGCGACGTCGAAGTCGGACTCATTCGGGGCCGCTGCCCTGCGCGCCGATCGAATGGCGTAAAGCGCAGCCCGCGAGTCCGCAGCAGCCACCCACAGCGGCGCACCCAAAAACAAAAACATTTCCGAGGCTGTAGTCTCAGGCGGGCGAGGCGGGCCATGGCGCAGAAGTGGGGCCCCTAGAGGCTGAGGAGGGAGGTGTCCCAGAGTGTTGCCCCGACAACGACAGTGCACGCGCCGAGCTCGGCGTTTCGACCAGGACCGAGTAGAGGATCGACACGCGGTGTGCGGTCAGCCGGTGAACTCGAGGGGAGCGCCAGCGCGCCGGCGGGAGCCTCCATGAACGGCGCCACGGCCAAGGCCCACAGGGTGCCTGAGAGACGACAGCCACGTGCAACGCCAGTGAGCACCAAGCGCGTGCAGACGGACTGCGACTGGATGCGGGTCCAACAGTGTTGCCCATCGCAGGGCGCCCTGACAGGGCGCCATGATCCATCGTAAAGCGCCCTGACCAACTGGCGTTGGCGCATTGGGCCGATGGGCCGCGCCGCTATGGGAACAGACGAAGTTCATACTGCAAGACCTCATGGTCGTCGACACCACCACAGTCAATGCCCCCTAGCGAGTGCCTGCAGCGGCGCCGACGGCAGGCCTGGCAAGCGGCCAGCGCAGCAGCACGACACAAGCTGCGCGCGGCCGCGGCTGCTACGCGCAAGCTCCGCCTGCAGCGCACGCACGCGGCAGCCGCCGCTCAGGCACTCCTCCCGGAGGGTTTCCACGGCACGACCCGTCGAAGCCTCAACGCCTGGTCGCCTGACTTGGCGATCCCACCAGGCGTCCGCCATAAATTGTTACACCTTAGTGCCCAACTGGCAGTTGCTGCCCTGGCTACCTGGAGGCCATCCGCGCCTTCGCAGGCGCATGACGCACTTCGTACCGCATGCACGTGGGACATCCCCTGCTAGCCGTGATTGGTGGTCCTGGGAAGACGGCGCTGACCACGTCGCGCACTACCTGGAGCGCCGAGGCGCCTGGAGGAGTGTCTGCGTGACTCCGCGCTCCCGCTCCGTCGCGCACGCGTGCGCCCTGCACCGCCTCGGCCTCGGCGCAACAGCGGACTACGACGGCGAGCCGCAGGGCGAGAACGGGCTCCCTAGAACGGCGGCGCGCTCGCCACGCTGCACCACGCGTACAACCTGCTCCGCCACCGGCCTGGCCCGGTCCAGCCGCCCCCAGAGGTGGCCCAGGCCCTGGCCCGCGCCACGGCCAGGCGCGTCCAGGTGCCCCCGCTCCCCCGACGGGGCGGCCCACGGGAATCGTAGCCACCGGCAGCACTGGCAGGTGACCGGGCCGGCGCGAGCCGACGCGGCGGCGACGCGGCGGCGGCGGCGGCTGGCGCAGCGGCGGCCTCCTGAGTACTACTTCGCACACTGCGCAGCAGCCTCCGAGCGGCCCCGCCCGCGGCGGCCCGAGGCGCTAGCTCTGACCCTCCTCCTTGCTACAGGCGCTCCTCCGCTTCCTCTTCCTCCTCCTCCTCCTCCTCCTCCTCCTCCCCATCCTCCTCCCCCTCCTCCTCCTCCTCCTCCTCCTCCTCCTCCTCCTCCTCCTCGTCCTCCTCCTTAGAGTCTCTTGTAGTTTACGGTCACCCGCCACCCCGAGGGCGAGTCAGTCAGTCAGTCAGTCAGTCGTCCTCCTCCCCCTGATCATCCTCCTGCTCATCCGCCTCTTCCTCCTGCTCATACCCATCCTCCAATCTGCGCAGCTTCCCTCCACCCTCCGCCTCTTCCCTCCTTCCTCTCCACTTCCTTCCTCTTGTCTCCCTCCTGACTCCTCCCTCTCTTCCTCCTCCTCCTCCGCCTCCTCCTCCTCGTTCTCGTCCTCGTCTTCTTCTTCCTCCTCCTTCTCCTCCTCATCCTTCTCCTCCTCCTCCTCCTCGTCCTGCTCCTCCTCATCATCCTTCTCCTCCTCGTCCTCTTTCTCCTTCTCCTCCTCCTCCTCCTCCTCCTCAGATTCCTCTTCCTCCTCCTCCTCCTCCTCGTCCTCCTCTTCTTCTTCCTCCTTCTCCTCCTCCTCCTCCTCCTTCCCCCTTCTTCTTCTTCTTCTTCTTCGTCTTCTTCTTCTTCTTCTTCTTCCTTTTGGAGGGCAGCCGACCGATCGTTCAACGCAACCGTGGTGAGGGCCCATCCGGCCTGCGCCTACAACGAGCCTTACTGCGCCAAGGCGCCTCAGAAGCACGAGCTCCGCGACTTGGCCGTGCTCTTGGACCCCGTGCCCAAGGACTTCGGCACCCTGTACTCCTCCCTGTCCCTCCCTTCTTTTCCTCCTCCAGCTCACTTCCCTGCCCCTCCTCCTCCTCTTCCACTCCGCCCTCCTCTTCTTCCTCCTCGTCCTCCATCTTCTCCAACTCTCCTCGTCCTCCTCGCCCTCCTCCACCTCCTCCTCGTCCGCCTCCTCCTCCTCCACCGCCTCCTCCAACTCTCCTCCTCCTCCTCCTCCTCCTCCTCCTCCTCACCCTCCTCCTCTCTCCTCCTCCTCCTCTCCTCTCCTCCTCCTTCTCCTCCTCCTCCTCCTCACCCTCCTCCTCCTCCTCCTCCTCCTCCCCCTCCTCCTCCTCCTCCTCCTCCTCCTCCTCCTCCTCCTCCTCCTCCTCCCACTGCCCCCCCCCCTCCTTCCCCTGTGCCTCCTTCCCCATCGAGTTTCCTGAAAAAGGACTCTTTCCCGTCGCGCCCCCAGGCGTGCCTGCAGGGCGGGCTGGGCGTTTCGCCCGAGAAGTCCTCACCGTTCATGGTCTTGAAGCTTGGAAGTTGCAGCCTTCACGGATGGATTGTGGGCCATTCTCAAATTGTGGTCGCCGCTTCAGCGCCGCGCACGTTCGTTGCAAAGTTCGCAGCCGCTTACGCATGGACGACCGATGGTTTCCAAAATGTTGCTCTCGCCCTAGCACCGCGCACATGGAACATCAAAAGTTCGTCACAGCTTTAAGGAAGGAGGGTTATCGCTTGTTGCAATGTGACTCTCTTTTCAGCGCCGCGCACATTCGTCTTAACAGTTCACAGCAGCTGCAAGTACGGAGGACGGTTCCGTTTCAAAATGTGGCTATCGCCGTAGCGCCGCACGCAGTCGTCTTAAAGCTCGTATCAGTTTCAAGGATAGAGGGCGTTCCCTTGAAAAATGTGGCTCTCGCTGTATGCGCGGCGCTCAAGGGTTTTCATGGTTGAAGCCTTCGGAAGGGCTTTCTGGTACGATTCAGGATTGCCAGGATGCGGCAGTCACGTTGATTCGCGGTGTTGAAGTCTTAGGAATTGCATTGTGGTACGATTTCGGATTGTCAGGAAGCATTTGTCCCGTTGATCCGCGGCGTTGACAAATCCCAGGAGTTTTTTTTGTTGCGGAACGGCTGAGGACTCAGACGGTTGCCTTCTAACGAGCCGTTTCCCGCCTTGTCGTCAATTAGTGTCAATTATTCGAAGGATCTATGACGAGAAAATTTGGAGGTGCGTTTCATTGCAACATCGTTGATGTGTCTGGAGTTTGCGCTGGTCCTCCTCCTCCTCCTCCTCCTTCTCCTCCCCTCGTCATTGTTCTCGTCGTCCTCGTCGTTCTCCCTCCTTCCCCCTCGTCCTCCTCCTCCTCGTCTTGATCCTCCTCCTCCTCCTATTCCTCGTTCTCCTCCCTCCTCCTCCTCCTCCTCCTCCTTCTCCTCCTCCTCCTCCCTCCTCCTCTCCTCCTCCTCCTCCTCCTCCTCCTCCTCCTCCTCCTCCCTCCTCCTCCTCCTCCTCCTCCTCCTCCTCTTCCTCCTCCTCCTCCTCATTCTCCTCCTTCCTTCTCATCATCCTCATCCTCTCTCCGGGCCCAAGGACTGTGGCAGCCTTTACGATGAGCTCATAGACAGCTCCGTGGATGACATGGTGATGTGGGTTGGCACGGAGATGTACCACATGCTCCATGGAACCCGAGGGGGTATTTTGAAACACCCGGCGCTCGCCGTGGAAATGTACAACAAGCTCAAGGGGCAGAAGACCGAAGACTACGTCGCCAAGGCATTCCCTAGCCTCGGCCAGCGGCGGCTCCTCTCCGAGAAGATGGAGAAGACAAAGGTAGACGTCGAAGAGATCACGGGCGCGCTCGCCTACTTCCAAGACGCGCTGACATCGGGCAAGAACATCCTGGCGTAGGCCTTCAGGTGTGCCATGGCCCGACTTCGCGCTGCAATCGCGCGGCCGACACACGCATTCGGGCAAGCCCTTTTGGAATGCTGGAGCCCCAGACGGGACCCACAGAATTCGCCCTCCCCTCCTCCTCCTCCGCCTCCTCCTCCTCCTCCTCCTCCTCCTCCTCCTCCTCCTCCTGGGGAGGATGAGGAGGGGTATGAGGATAGAGCATCTCTCCTCTCTACCGTTCGCTAGTCTAACTAGCTTTACCGTTTTTTCCCATCCCATGCTTAAGGAGCGCAGGAGCGCATGTTTCTTTATGCATTCGAATTCTTCTGGGCCAGACGGTGTTGCCATGTGTTGCCCACCTCCCGACGAATCGTCGTTTTCGTTGTTCCCCTATCCTTCCCCCTCCTCGTCCTCTTCGTCGTCCTCCTCCTCCTCATTATTCTCCTCTTTGTATTCCGTTTTCTCTACGTGGATTTCGGCACCGGCGCTCCCAGTAATTTCTCCCAGAGTAGTTCTTCCCAGGGTGGATCGCGGAACCAGCTTTCCCAAGCCTTGACGTTGGAGTAAGTTCGTTGATTTCTTCCCAGGTTCGGCCGTTTCTGTCCTCCATCCCTGCTCCTCATAGGTAAGTCCGCCCTGTCGCACCCCGGGGCCGGTCGAAAGAGCGGGCCAGGCGTGTCGCTAGAGACGTCCTCACCATTTAGAACTTTGCAGGAGCTTCACGGATGGAGGGCGGCCCGTTTTCAAAACGTGTCTCTCGCTTTCGCGCCGCGCACATTCGACTTCAAAGTTCGCAGGAGCTTCACGGATAGAGGGCGGGCCGTGTTCAAAAAGCTGCTGTTGCTTAAGCGCCGCGAACACTCGCCTGAAACGTTTGCAACAGTGTTGCGCATGGAAGGCAGCTCAGTTTCAAAGATGTTGCTATCGTTTGAGCGCCGCGCACGTTCGTCTTGAGGGCTTGCAAGAGTTTCTAGGGTTCTCATGGCTAACGTCCCAGAAGCAGTGTGTTGGCATCATGTTGGAATGTCAGGGCGAAACAGTCAAACGTTGATTCGCGGCGTTGATGTCCTAGGAAGGGCGTTCTAGCACAATTCCTCATTTTCAAACGGTCGTTTTTCAACGGGGCGCTTCTTTCAGTGAAAATGAATCCGTGTAGAGGCTTATGAAAAGAGGGAATTTGGAGGGAGGGTTTATTGCAATATCGTTGATGAGTCTTGGGTTTGCACTAGCCCTCATCCTTCTCCTCCTCTTCCTCCTCCTCCTCCTTCTCCCCTCCTTCTCAAACTGCCTCCAGCAAGCTCCACCATCGAGCCAGCGCAGCACACCGTGACAGCCCATGGGGGACGGACCACAGGGGCGGCAGTACCGCGTGGCAGCTTTTTGCCCGAGGATCCAGAGGGCCGCAACATGTGTGAGTGAATCCCCCGAGGTTCGACGAGGCCGTCATGAGCGACAGCTGTCTTCCCGAGGCCCACAGGGCCCTCGCGTGGGGCGCGGCACACCTGAAGCCCCAGGAGAATCCTCGCGTGTCACGGCTGGCTTCCCCAGTTCGGGGGAAGATGGAAACGCGCGGCAGTCAGTCCCCTTCCCCTCGGGCCCAAGGGGGGAGCGAGTGACGCGCGGCATGCCCCCTCTGTGAAATGCCGAAGGGCGCAGCATGTGACAGTGGTCTTCCACGTGGCCGGCGGGGTCGTAACATGTGACACCTGCCGTCCCAGGTGCCATAGCGCCGTGGCACGCGATTGCCTGCTTCCTCATTCCAGCGAAGGCCGCAACACGCTGCAGTGATGTCCCCACTGACCCAGAGCGCCGTAACGCGCGACGTTTGCTTGGCTCTCGTCGTCCCCGTTGGATCCCCTAAGATCCCACCCCTCTGGGGGATCCTGCCCTCGAGAGGGCCTCTTGCTTCAGGCGCCCTGTCCTCATCCCCATCATCATCATCATCATCATCATCATCATCATCATCATCATCATCATCATCATCATCAGCAGCAGCAGCAGCATCATCACCATCACCATCACCATCACCATCACCATCACCATCACCATCACCATCACCAGCATCATCATCACCATCATCATCACCATGATCATCATCATCGTCATCATCATCATCTGCGTCATTATCATCAACAACAGGATCAACATCATCACCAGCATCACCATAAACAACAACAACACAAGCTTCAACATAATCATCATCAGCAGCAGCATCATCAGCACTAATATCATCATAAACAACATCACCAGCATCATCATTCTCACAATCGTCGTCATCATCAGCATCATTATCATCAACATCAGCACCATCATCATCGTCACCACCACCACCATCAGCATCATCGTCAACACCAGTCTCATCATCATCACCATCATCATCATCGTCATCAACAACAACATCATCATCGTCATTATGATCGGCATCATCATCATCAGCATCAGCATCATCAGCATCAGCATCAGCATCAGCATCATCATCATCATCATCATCATCATCATCATCATCATCATCAGCCCCCGAGGTGGCCTCTCGCTTAAGGTGCCTTGCCCTCTTTCCTGCGCTCTGCCGCATCCTTGCCGCCCCCGCCGCCATCCCTCGCCCGACTCGGGGGTGCAGCCGCCCTGAGCCCACAATATTGCTACGGGATGAAGGGGAGGGTGGAGGAGAAGGAGGACGAGGAGGGGGAGGACGAGGAGGGGGACAAGGAGGCGGACAAGGAAGGTGGACGAGGTCGAGGAGGCGGAGGAGGAGACAGACAGACAGACAGACAGTCAGACAGACAGACAGACAGACAGACGGACAGACGGACGGACGGACGGACGGACGGACAGGCAGACAGACAGACAGACACAGACAGACAGACACACAGGCAGACAGACAGGCAGACAGACACAGACAGACAGACACAGACAGACGGACACAGACAGACAGACAGACAGACAGACAGACAGACAGACAGACAGACAGACAGACAGACAGACAGACAGACAGACAGGCAGGCAGACAGACAGACAGACAGGCAGGCAGACAGACAGACAGGCAGACACACACACAGACAGACAGACAGACACACAGACAGACAGACAGACAGACAGACAGACAGACAGAGACAGACAGACAGACAGACAAAGCGAGGAGAAGAGGGGGGCCCCTCCCAGGTCCCCTTTGCGCACCCAGCTGCTGCCACCTTCCTCCCGCCGTTGTTGGCAAGCCCCTGCTTCCGCCCCGGACCCCGCCCCCTATGCATCGAAGTCCCTGGAGGTCCCCGGAGGCCTCCAGAGCCCCAGAAAGGACCGACCAGACACGCTCCAAAACGGTCCGTAGACGTCCCACAATTTCCCGCCCCTCGACCCTCGAAAACCGAAGGAAAAACTTGTTCGTCCGACCACTTGCTAGCTTTACCTCTGCGGGTCCGATTGGCGCTGGCATCGGACCCCCCGCTGGGTATCGCTTGGCTGCGGACATCGCCTGTAACTTCTGAGCCCCGGCTGGCGTTCCAGAAGTCAGACCTGCAGGAGGTGGGATTCGCATGCGGCTGCCTACGGTCAGGCACTTTGGCTTAGCGCGTCGCTCCGCTGGTTCCGCCCCACCACGCCTGGGCGCGACACGCTGACGACGTCCTATGTAGTCCCCCGGGCGTCAACGTCCCGAGCTTTTCCCAGCTTCCTGCCCCCCAGAGCGGAGCGACACGACGCCATCCGCTCGCAGGGCAGAGCGCGTCGCCAGGGCCGCGGCCACGACACGCTGAGCACAAGTTCCCGACCCTATCGGCCGTGATCCCCCGTTCATCCCCGTTCCGTGGTTTGGGAAGTCTTCGGACAAGGAGGAGGAGGAGGAGGAGGAGGAAGAGGAGGAGGAGGAGGAAGAGGAGGAGGAGGAGGAGGAGGGGAGGGAAAGAGGTAGGAGGAGGAGCAGGAGGAGGAGGAGGAGGAGGAGGACCTCCTCGTCCCCGCCGTCCGGGCAATCGGCGCCGGCTCGAGCCCCGGCGGGCGCCGGGCCTGCAGCCCTGCAGCGGTGCCCCCTCCCCACCCAAAGGGCACCACCCGCAGCAGGGCGGATGGACCTCGTGGCGGAGGCGGCGGCCGCTGTCTGATTGCTGCCCCGTCGTCCCGTCGCCCTCCTGGACTCCACCTTCCTCCTCACCCCCCTGCTGCCTCCACCTCCCTCCGTTCTCTGCCTCGTCCTCCCCCATTCCTCCTCTGTCTCCCTTCCGCTCCCCTCCTCCTCCGCCTCCTCCTTCTCCTCCTCCTTCCCCTCCTCCTCCTCCTCCTCCTCCTCCTCCTCCTCCTCCTCCTCCTCCTCCCAGCTTCAATGATGGAGGGCGGGTTCTTTCCAAAGTATGGCTCTCGCCGCAGCGCCGCGCACATTCGATGTCAAAGCTTGCAGCAGTATCAAGAACTCGTAGGACCGAAGTCCCAGGAATGGTGTTCTGGCGCGGTTCAGGATTGTCAGGACGCAGCAGCCACGTTGATTCGCGGCTTTGAAGTCGTCGGAATGGTGTTTTGACGCGATAGGGGACTCTCAGTCGGATGTCTTTCCATGTGGGCCTGTGAAGAGGGAACTTGGAGTGATGGTTTATTGGTACATCGTTGATGCGTCTTGGTTTTACCTTGGTCCTCCTCCTCCTCCTCCTCCTCCTCCTCCTCCTCCTCCTCCTCCTCCTCCGCTGCTCCCCTCCATCGTGCCTCGTCCCTCCTCCCTCCCTCTCTCCCTGCTCCTCCTCCTCCTCCTCTTCCTCCTCCTCCTCCAAGCAGTGCGAGGATTGCCACCACGTGACCATGTACCTGTATACCTGGAAATATTTTACACCAAGGACCCACACGACCTCCCTCCACAACCTCCCCCGAAGATGAACCCGACGGCACTCATGGATGCGATTCGTTCTGGCCGGGGCAAGGCCGCTTTTCTTCGGGACGTGGCTCAGGAACTTGAGGGGCGCGAGGTGGGCCTGCTAGGCCTCTCGCAGACGGGATCTCCTGATCAGATCTTCAAGTCTCTCGAACGCAGGATTCACGCTCTTGGTCTTAAGCATTTCGGTCAGGCACCTCAGGCACCTAACCCTCAGGACAGCGCTCGGAGACGGGAGCTATTAGCGGAACGTTCTCGGTTGAAGGGCAAGCGGCAGGAGGTGGACACGGGGGAGGAGTTGGAGGAGGTAGAAC